AGAGCTCTCCATTGTTCAGGTCAGCTGTTTCTGTGGGTTTCAGCAGCCTGATCTGGACCCCTTTGCTCATGACTCGTCCTTCTTTGCAACTGAATTCCAGTTCAGTTCAGTGATTAGCTGTGGGTGTCTGCTTCTACTTCCACCAGCAGCTGGATGAAGGCGATAGGATGGCATAAAAGTCATCAATCTCATTATCAGGGGAGAGCATTTAAGGTAGCCTCTCCTCTGCTGCTTAGATTGTTATTTGTTGTCATCTTTGAGGATCTCCAGGCATTTCCCTAGTGCCTGATTTCTCTAAATCTAAAATGTCTCCCTCTATTATGGTATCTCTTACTTTGCTTTCCTATATTCTTCTCCCAACTCAAACTTCCTGCTCCCTCATGTCCTCCTCACCCCACCTCTTCTTCCCTTCTCATTCTCCTAGCTCCCTCTCCCCTCCCCCATGATCCCAATTTGCTCAGGAGATATTGTCCCTTTCCCCTTCTTCGGGGACCATGTATGTCTCTCTTGGAGTCCTCCTTGTTTCCTAGCTTCTCTGGCAGTGTGGATTGTGGGCTGGTAATCTTTTGCTGTATGTCTAAAATCCATATATGAGTGAGTACATACCCTGTTTGTCTTTTTGTGATTGGGTTAACCTCGCTCAGAATGGTTTCTTCTAGTTCCATCCATTTGCCTTCGAATTTCAAGATTCCATTGCTTTTTTCTGCTGAGTAGTACTCCATTGTGTAAATGTACCACATTTTCTCTATCCATTCTTCAGTTGAGAGGCATCTAGGTTGCTTCCAGGTTCTGGCTATTACAAATAATGCTGCTATGAACATGGTTGAACAGATGTCCTTGTATGAATGTGCTTCTTTTGGGTATATGCCTAAGAGTGGAATTGCTGGATTTTGTGGTAGACTGACTCCCATTTTCCTGAGGAGTCGTCATACTGATTTCCAAAGTGGCTGTACGAGTTTGCATTCCCACCAGCAGTAGAGGAGTGTTCCCCTTTCTCCACATCCTCTCCAGCATAAACTGTCATTGGTGTTTTTGATTTTAGCCATTCTGACAGGAGTAAGATGGTATCTCAGAGTTGTTTTGATTTGCACTTCCCTGATGCTAAGGATGTTACTTATGTGTCTTCCAGCCATTTTAGATTCCTCTATTGAGAATTCTCTATTTAGTTCTGTACCCCACTTTTTAATTGGGTTGTTTGGTGTTTTGGAGTCTAGCTTCTTGAGTTCTTTGTATATTTTGGAAATAAACCCTCTCTCAGATGTGGGGTTGGTGAGAACTTCTGGAGGCATCACTATCCCTGACTTTAAGCTCTATTACAGAGCTATAGTCGTGAAAACAGCTTGGTATTGGCACAAAAATAGACAGGTAGACCAATGAAATCAAGTTGAAAACCCTGATATTAACCCACACACTTATGAACATCTGATTTTTGACAAAGAAGCTAAATTTATATGATGGAATTAAGAAAGCATCTTCAACAAATGGTGTGGTGTAATTGGATACTGGCATGTAGAAGACTGCAGATAGATCCATGTCTATCACCATGCATAAAACTTAAGTACAGATGGATCAAAGACCTCAACATAAACCCAGCCACACTGAAACTACTAGAAGACAAAGTGGGAAATAACCTTTAATTAATTGGTACAGGAGACCGCTTCCTGAACATTACACCAGTAGCACAGACATTGAGATCAACAATTGATAAATGGGACCTCCTGAAACTGAGAAGCTTCTATCAGACAAAGGATACAGTCAGCAAGACAAAATGACAGCCCACAGACTTGGAACAGATATTCATGCATTTTTACTTTTTAAGTAAAGTATAAATGCTTTTGTGTCTTTTGGGCATTTTTACAAATACAAGAATGGGGAAGCAATTGTCTGGTTATATTTAATTAACTCAACTATAACACAGTCCAATCATTGATCCAACTATGCAATGCTGTGTCTTGGTATAGATCCATTGAATTAGAGTCCTCTAGAGAAAAAGAGCAATGGGAAATATGTAGCTAGACATATGAGGTTGGGGCTGCAGAGAAGGTTCAGCATGTAGGTTTCATGGCCTCAAGCCTGATGGCCTACCTAGATTTGGTCCCTAGGGCACATATGCTGAACAGAGAGACTGATTATCAAAAGTTCTCATCTGAAATTCACATGTACCTCTTGGTATGTTCATATCTTCACACATGCACATGTGTGTAACCCAATATGATAAAAACATGTTTATACACACACACACACACACACACACACACACACACACACACACACCACACCCTAAAAATAAATACTTGTAATTTTAAAAATATAAATTTATAGATTGTTTTTGCACAAAGTTAGAGAGTCAAAGTTAATTCTAAAGTGGAAATCAAAAGCATTCCATTGTATAATTCAATCCAAAAATCCAGGGAACCAGTGAAACAAAGTCCATTTTGGGTTTGCCCCAGAACCAGGAACATTAAGAGCAGAACACCTGTTTTCTAACCCCCTCAAAGCAGCAAAGAGTTCTCTTCCCCACTATTTATACTCTCAAGAGAGTAGAGAAAGCCTACCTATATAAGGTGGGAAAACCTAGCTATTCAGTCAACAGATTCAAATGCTCATCTCAATTTGAAACATTCTCTAGACACTTCCAGACTGAAGTTTGGTTTGAGTATGCTGTATAGCAGAAGTTTCAGTCTTGCCTGCTTCTGCAACCTTTTAGTCACAAATAAACACACAGAGACTTATATTAATTACAAACTCTTTGGCCTATTGCTCAGACTTCTTATTGGTTAGCTCTCTCTTAATTTTTAACCCATTTCTTTGTATCTCCATGTGGTCTTGGCTTACTGGGGATGCCCAGGTCTCTTGCTTCCTCAGCAGCTACATGACATCTCTCTGACTCCACCTACTACCTATCTCTATCCCCGTTTGGATTTCCTGGTTAAATCCTGCCTGTCCATTGACCAAAATAGCTTTATTCATCAACCAATAAGAGAAACATATTCACAGCATACAGAAGGATATTCCCCCATCAATTAAGTTGACACATAAAATTAACCACCATGAGTCAAACATCAATTTTTTTTAGAGACAGGGTTTCTCTCTGTAGCTTTTCAGCCTGTCCTGGAACTTTTTGAACCAGGCTGGCCTCGAACTCATAGAGATCCGCCTGCCTCTGCCTCTGGAGTTCTCAGATTAAAGGTGTGAGCCACCATTGCTCAGCTCATACATCTTTTAATTATATATTTTATAATTCATACGTATTTTAATTATAATTTAATTTTCAAAAAAGGCAAGGTTAGTTTTCTTCCCAGGACACAAACTAGAGTTTCCTGAAAATAGAACTTTAATAAGAATCATCTTTATTAGATTGACCTGTAGGCATGTGTATGCAACATTTGTTATTGAATGATCGACTGGTTGATTACTGCTGGAGGTAGGAGGACCCAAACCACTGTGGGTTGGTACCATACCTGTGCAGGTGTGCCTGTAATGTATAGGAAAGGTAGCAGAGAAATTTAAATAAAGTAGGCCAGTAAGCACTTTTCCTCCATGTTTCCTGCCTCTACCAGAGTTCTTGCCCTGACTTCCCTCAATGATGGTCTGTGATCAGGATGTGTAGAACAAACAACCCCTTTCTTTCAAAAGTTTTTTCAGGTCATATTGTCTATCACAGCAGCAGGAAGTAAACTGTTATGGAAGCTGTTATTAGAGAATAGCATATTGATGTGATGAACCTGACCAGGCTTTTACACCTGAGAATGTATTATGGAAAAAAAATGGAGAAATTTTGAGCTTTGAGCTGGAAAAGCCATTGTGAGTTCAGAGCTTAATAAGCTACTACTGGGACTTAGAAGACAATGCTAGTAACCTAGTATCTAATTGACTATTATTAATAAGCTACCAGCATAAAAATTGCCTTACCGGGACAATTGATGGTGATTATCTGTGGCTAAAAATCAACTGTGATTAAGAGACCAGTATCACTAAGGTGAAATCTGGGAAGCATTTCTTCAAGGTCAGTGCACAGTCTGTGGTTCACTGAGGGGTCCAAGGATTCATCTCAAGCTGGAATTTGAATCTTATAATGAGTAAAAGCCACCCACATGGTCTGGTTTGGAAAGGCGTAAGGGATCATTAAGAAAAGCTTAGGCTTGACACCATTGGAGGCAGAGAAGTCATTGGTAAAGAAACATTCTCAGCTGCAGTGGAGACATTAGCATATTGGAGACTGTAGACCAAATGCATTTGGAGACATGCACCAAAGACATACACAGGTGTGGAGCAGTAGAACCTGAGCCTACAAGAAAAGCTGTGTGCTGCAGATATGAGAGTAGGAGTGGTGGGGCTACTGAGGCCCTTTAGAGCCCATAAGGTCTTGAGTGAGTTCCAGAGGACTGTGTTTTATTTGGTGATATTAACATGAGATCTGGAGGGCAAACAAGAAAGGAAACATGGTTGAACTGTGATGCATTTGTGTTTCAAGTTTACAAGGGGTCAACTGTGCTAGAAAGTTTGTGTCAACTCGACACAATAGAGTTACCAGTGGAGAAACCTCTGTTGAGGAACTGCTTCCATCATATTGGCCTGTGAGGGGACATTTACAAATTTCTATTGTTGCTGGAGTCCTAAACCGCTTTGGGTGGTGCTATTCATTGGCAGGTATGCCTGGGCTGTATAAGAAACACATGGGAGCAAGTCAGAATGTGTGTGTGTGTGTGTGTAATGTTATAATTGTGTAAAATATAGCATATGTGTGGTGATAAGAACTGAAATTTTATCCTCCAGTTGTTTTTCCAGGAGATACTCTTCCTCATTAACGTGTAACTTAAGGTTTAAGTTTTAAAAAGTAGGAAGAAAGCAAGCAAGCAAGAACAAGTGAGCACGGTTTAGAAGCCATTCAGTTTTCTTCTGGGGATTTCTATGCAAACGGGAATGGTCCCTGAGAACAGAACAGGTAAACATGAGAATTTGAGGCAGGCATTTCCCTATACAGATCTGGATGTGCAGCCATGTCAGACCGCAAATTGGCTGCTCCAGTTGAACAGACCAAGACACAATCACAGTCCTATGTCTTGGGATTCCATTCTTGGTATCATGCTAGACCATCCCAGGAGCCCAATACTAATGCTGAGAACTGGACCAACAACTTCCTTTAGATGTGTAGACTGTGACAGCTGTAGTTTTTGCTTGGCAGTTTTAGGTTCATATCATTCCTTCTTGAATTTCTGCCCTGTTGGATCTACTCTCCAAAGTCACTTTAAAAGAAGCATCACCATCATGGGGTGGCCAATAGCTTTTGAAGTCCTTCCAACAAACAGCATGTGGATGTTGATCAAGACCCAAGTCTAGACCAGATGGAAGATGTGAACGTGAAGTTTTAGAACTCACATCTGGTCTTCTCCAGAACTTTCTCAACTGTGGTTTAGGAGAGTACTTTTCTTTGCTGTACTGTTTTGTTTTTGCCTCCTCCCTATAGCAGCAAATTATTACCTTGTTCATTCTTAGGTATATGTATTGCGTTTATTAAAGGGCATCATTTCAATTTATTTTTAACAATGGGAATTGGAATGCTCAGCATAGTTAATAGATAAATGGTGTCGTGAACTCATCCTTCTCCCTGGAGTCCCTCTTTGCCTGGCAAGCAAACTTAGAATCAAGTCAGAACTCCTTACAAAGGGCTTCTGGAGGTAACCTGTGTCCTGTTGTGTCACTGACAGAGCTCTCTATTCTTCTTTGGGTATCTCTCTTAGTAAGCCTGCCAAATTCACACCCCATACCAGGGGTTTCACTTATCTTTCCTATCCTTCTCCACTGATTCTCGCCATAGCATCTCTCAAAGCTTCTTACTTCCTGGCATTTTCATCTCCATTTAAGCTATATCTATCTAAAATAGCTGCTTTGTGTCTGAAAACTTTATTTTGGAAACATTTTCTTTCTCTTGGAAGTTAATTGTAAGCTGCTTAAGTGCAAATTATCTTCTGGATAATTGTTTGTCTTCGTCGTGCAACTGATTCAATCATGTCATAGATCATCTATAAGTGTTCATTTATTTAGAGGGAATTGACAATAAAAGCTATGTTTATGAGGCACTTATATATTTTCTTTTAGCTAAGCCCTACTTTTAATGACATGTGGATTTCCTTCATCAGTGTTCTACTTAAATGCATTGCCTATTCGGAGTATTGGGTTCCCCACAGCTATCAGTGCTGTTGTGTTATGGAGCCTAGAAACTGCTCTTCTATGAACTATAAAAATAAGCCTGTGAAACTTAATTGAACTCGTACATATTACTGCATATGGAACTATAATATTAGGAATAGAGAATTCTTTGTTTTCAAGTGAGCCACCATGGGTACAAGGGGACAGTGGTGGCATTCATGGTTTCTACCCTTCAAGGTGCACCCTTCTCAAGTTGTAGAAAATTGACAAATGACTCCAGACCTTGACAAAACCATTTCATTAGAAAACTTCCCATAATATATTGCATGTTTTACATTCAAGTTTGAATTGTAAGAGTGTTGTGTTAACTTTTTCCAGGAAGCCTTGAACAGATGTTTTATCACTCAAGGGCACTGTTAACATACCAAAGTAACAACTCCACCAAAGTCCAATTTGAGGGCTTTTCGAGGATTGTGTGTGAATGGTTCCATATAGGAGGAGTGTGCATGTCTCTTAGACAAAGGCAGCATGAAAAAGCCCATCCCATTCTGGTTGATTGATAACTCACAAGTGGTACATCCCTACCGCTCTCAGCACAACTTGCAGACAGCTCAAATGGCAGCAAAGCCTCTCCACAACAGCTTTGATAACTGATCCTTTAGATACCCTTAGAAATGGGCCTCATGCCTGTTGTACATTTCAGCTTTCTCTCCTCAGTGAGATTTGTTTACTTCCTGAGGCTTATGAGTTCCCATTTTCCCTCCAGGTGGAGATGTTTCAATTTGGGGAAAATTGCTCCAGAGCCAAAAGACTCTTCACAGCCAGCACCCTCAAAAATAGGAGAAGACGTGAAATCCCATAAACCTCATGGAAATAGCTTAAAAAAAATTAGCAACCACACATTAAAGTTCACAGATACTAGAGTTGAAATGCCAGCTTATTGGTAGTTAGGACAATTCCAAAAGGACTGATCATTCTGTTTTTTTCTGTGCAGTAACAATCTATTTGGCTGGGTCCTGTTTTGGGAACTTCTGAACATTCTGGTTGCTCAGGATCTCAGGCCTGCTGCCAAGTCCAACCACCTACCTATGCAGATGAAGGCCCAGACTTCTTTATTACCTAAAGTTATCCACAATCGCAGCAGCTATGTGTGCCTGCTGTGACCCCATGGATTCCAGCTTCACCATCTTAGAACTTCCACCTGGATTGAGATATTTACTTCAGGTAAGTTCAAATAGATAAAATATTCACAAACAAGGCCATGCTTCCAGTTTACTCATGGGTAGGCGATCACTCTGGTTCATACAACTTAGAAACAGTAAACACTTTTTTTTTTTTTTGGACAAAGGGTGCCATTTGATGCCATCGTCTGGCCTGGGACTCACTGTTTTGAATTCCTCATAATCAATCTACCTCAGTATTCCAACTGTAGATAATTATGTCATAACCCACAAACCATGGCTATGTATTCTAAAATGAATCACTGATTTTTATGGATTTGTTTTGTTTCTGAAGTAAAGGTTGAATGCTTTAGAAAATTGTGTTTTCTATTACCTTGGACGTGATTTATGATAATGGGCAAATGCTAGTATATATGTAGCACAGGTTTCTAGGCTTTTTTATAAGCACAATATACAATATATTCATCCTTAACTTATTGACAGTTCCTTACGTGTCTACAATGAAATTTTAGTCATATTAATCCACCTACCTTCTCTTATTCCAACTCCTACCCCAACAACTGTTTCCCATTTAAGTCCTCATCTCACATTCCTCCCTCCCTCTCTCTCTCTCTCTCTCTCTCTCTCTCTCTCTCTCTCTCTCTCTCTCTCTCTCTCTCTCTGTGTGTGTGTGTGTGTGTCTGTGTGTGTGTGTGTGTGTGTGTGTGTGTGTGTGTATTTGATTGTTTGAAAGCCACTGAGTTTAGATAGGGCTACCCATGGACATGAGTATTTCACTATACACAGGTGCATAGGTAAGGCACTAGTAGTTAAATCACTAAAGACAGTGATTTCTTTCCCCCAGCATTCTGAGAGCCTGAGAACAACAACAGTTCTCAGAGAAGCATTGAGCACCATGAGCTTCTTTATTATCTGTGGCTAAATGTTTACCATATCAGTCTTGTGTAGCCTCTATGCAGAGAATCATAGCTGCTACGAGTTCATACCCATAAGACAGTATTTCATATGCCTCTTCTTATTTGTGGCTCATTCTTTCTGCCCCATTTTCTGTGATGTTCTCTGAGCCTTGGAGTGGGTGACATGGGGATACGAGTGTTCCATTTTACTAAGCACTCAACAATCACTTGTTCTCAGCGCCTTGGCCAGTGGTGGATCTCTGCATTAATTCAACATTCACTGCAGGGAGAATGTTGATCAAGACTGAGGGCAGCACTAGTATGTGGATATAAATAGAAATATTTTGGAGGCAGTTTGATGATACTTCCATTTAGTAAAATGAAAGTAATAGGTTCATCCCTGGTGCCTATGACCTTCCCAACCATGGGACTTTGATCTGGGTCCTGGTTTAAGGCATGAATTTCCATCTTATAAAACTTCAGATCTTATAAGAAATCAGTTGATTACCTCTGTAAGAGTTGTGCCACTATTTCAGCAGTAGGAACATCTTGCCTGACAAGATGGTATTCTGTTATACAAGGTATGAAGCTCACAAACTGAAGTCCAGCAGGAAGAAGGAAACTTCTAGCTCAGTTAAAGTAGGATTTCCTTGAGTTCTGGAACTAAAGTTTGTAGTAGGAGATCAATGGCAATGCCATAACCTTTAGATTTTGGGGAGCCTATGGGACCTTCTTGATCACTAATTCCTAGGGAAATGTTCCACACCTAGCACTTAAATTTTAATCTAATAACCAACGGCTTCTGGGATAAGCATTATCTACCCATGCATGGCACATCCATTCTGACAGCTTAAAAATATGATGCTTATAAATTAGTAAGTTTTGATGTGAATTCTTCATACCACCTTAGTTTTCGTCAACCCACTTTCTGGACCCCCTGTTCTCCCCAACCCCTACCCTTGTTTAAAAGTTGCCATTCCCAGAATTCCTTCAGCTATCATATCACATGTATGCTACCCTCCTCAGTTTCCTGTAAAGCCCCTTCATCACCCACAGCCCTTCCACGTTCCTCCTGTTCCAGTGGGGTTTCTACAGGCAGTATAATTTAAATAAATGCATGTATAAAGATCCAAACCTATCCACGTTTAAGAGAGAACACATGGTGCTTGATTTTCCAAGATAGAGCTTGCCTCACTCACTATGATATTTTCCAGTTCCATCAGTTCACCTTCAGATTTTATTGTTTCAATTTTCTTTACAGATGGGTAAAATTCCATTGTGTGCATGTACTGCATTTTCATTTTCTGGCATTAGTTATTTGACATCTAGGATGATTCTGTTTCGCAACTATTTTGAATAGAGCAGCAGTGACCATATGTGTACAGACATTTCTGCAGGAAAATATAAAGTCCTTTGAGTACATGCAGAAGTGACATAGTTAGGACATATGGAAGTTTTATTTTCAGTCTTTTGTAAAACTTTCAGATTGATTTTCATTGTGTATGCATTCATTTGCAATCCTGCCAAGAGTGTGGCTCAGGGATAATAAGAGTGGATGCTCTAAAAGTGCTAGAATGAAAGTAATGGGTACACTCAACATACAGGCATGGTGAAATCTTTCTGAACAAGACTCTCTCTCCAGTAGCACAGGAAAGAAGATTGACAATCAGCCAATGGTCTCTCATGAAACTAAATCTTATCACCACAAACACACTGTCAATGAGTGAAGAGGTAGCCCAGGAAATAGAAGAAAACTCATTCCTACCCATACATCTGATAGATGATTAGTATATGGAGTATAGTAAGAACTCAAAAAAGCTAAACATCGAGAAAACAAAGCATTCAACAACAAAATAAGAAGCTATAGAATTGAATGAGCATAGAGTTTTCAAAGGGAAGAAACTCATGTGGCTAGTAAACACCAATAAAATTGTTCATTATCTGTAGCTTTAAAAGCAGTCTGTGGGACCACTGGCAGTGGGACCAGGATTTATTCCTAGTGTTTCAACTGGCTTTTTAGAGCTCATTCTCTTTGGAGGGATACCTTGCTCAGTCTAGATATAGCAGGGAGGGCCTTGGTCCTGCCTCAAAGTGATGTGCCAGACTTCGTTTACACCCCATGGGAAGCCTTACCTTCTCTGAGGAGTGGATAGGGGGTGGGTGGGTGAAGGTGGTGAGAGCAGGAGGAGGGGAGGGAGTGGGAACTGGGATTGATATGTAAAATGAGAAAAGATTGTTTTAAAATATAAAAGATAAAAAAATACAGATTAAAAACATTTTTGAGATCCTATCTCACCCGGAGCCATTATGAAGAAGACAATTAACAACAAAATCTGGCATGGATGTGGAGAAAGTGGGCATGCTTATACTCAGTAGGTGCTATATGGATTAACAGTTTACTCTTTACAGAACATTTATAATGTATAAGAACTATAATTATAGACATTTACACAACAGGGAAACTTAAGAGTTACCCTAATGGCTGAGCATTATAAGCCTATGAAAACAGACCTGCCTTCTTAAAACTCATGCTTTGATTCTGTATCCTGTACTCTTTAATCACAATACTGAATATGTCTTGGTATTTTAAATAAACGTTTAGTAAATCTTAGAGAGCAGATTCAGTAAGAGGAGCTGAAAAATAAATTTATATTCTGTGTATAGCATGATCAACTATTTTCTTGTAATTCGTAAAGTTATACTTTTCATTCACACTCCTTTTAGTATTAGACACACAATGTTTCAAATGCCAACAATAAGAGAAGAAAATTCTGTGTTTTAGGGTACCACATGTAGTTTAGGATAGCAATGTTAAGTTGATATTTCTTTGTTTTATAAATCAGATAAAGTAAGAATCTATATCTTAGTGTTTTTCCAAAAGAGCATCTGGACTTCAGCAAATATTTCATTTCTTTCTTTCTTTTTTGGGGGGCGGGGGGTTGAGACAGGGTTTCTCTGTGGCTTTGGAGGCTATTCTGGAGCTAGCTCTTGTAGACCAGGCTGGTCTCGAACTCACGGAGATCCACCTCTGCCTCCCAAGTGCTGGGATTAAAGGCATGCGCCACCACCACTCTGCCAGCAAATATTTCTAAGAAAGACTTTGAAACATTTTTTTTAAGAGTCAACATCATGTAGGCCAAGGTAACCTATGCCCTAAACCTAAGGAGGCCAAGTCAGAAACATAAATGCAATGCCATCATGGTCTAGATAAGGAAACACTACTCAAAAAACAAACAAACAAACAAAAAACTACCACAACAGTCCACAAACGATGACATCAAGAATAATTTTCACATGAGCAGAAAAACCTCCTTAAACAGATAAAAATGTTTTCATATTTCACAAAAATCATCTAGAAAGGACTTTGCTTTGTAATTTTTATACATATCTCAGGTTAAGTCAAATTTACTTAATTTCTCCACATCAATTGTGAATTAATTCGGTAGATTATATTTTAATAAAAAACTTAAATATGGTTTTGTTAAAACATAAAGTTATGAGAATTTGATACTGGTAAATGTTGCCAGCAGGTTATATATAATAAAAATATGAATCCAAATTTGGTTGACAAAACATCTGAAATTCTTAATTTTCTTTTCACTGTGACAGCTGGATCGCATTCTGATTCATCAGGACTTTGAGTTTGCGGAAGGTGTGTATTTTTATTTTATTCATATTTCTAGAAAGACAATAAAGTAAGGGCATAATGAACACCACAAATGCTGAATTCTAGATGACACAGAATGGCAAAGTTAATTGTTTACAATGTCTTTCCTTATAGTCTTCAAACAAGAAGTTCTATCTAGAAATTTTCATTCCTATAAATTAGGAATCTCTTGGTTAATATTATGGTGGTCAACTGCCCTCATTATACAGATTCTAATTTGAAAAAGAACACCCAAAACTTACCTTTGCTCCCACGTCTCTAAATCGCCCCATGTTTTACCACCCTCCTTGGTTTCTTAGCTTCTCTCTGCCAAGTTGTGACCAGTATGAGACTTGCACAGAACCTCTGTCAACAGTTCAGATCTCACAGTGAATGGTCTTTTGGAATTAGGATGGAGATGCTCTGTAAAATCAATTGTAGTGCCCTGCCAGATCATGGAATCTAGGTCTCATAGGGCTCCTCAACACTTCCTAGCTCAGCACAGGGCAGTGTTGTCTTGGAGATGCTGTGCAGAGCATGGGCTAGGTGCCTATAGATGTCTTCACAGGTCCAGTGTCTCCAGGTGCAAAAAAGGAACTGAAGAAGCTGCTAGAAAAATAATAACAACTGCCAAAAGAAGGAAGAGCATGGGAAGATGTATGAACTGCTCTGTCTCCTTCTGTCTACCAGAGCATGATAAAAACTTAATTGAAATCTAGAGTACATCTTTTAAATTTATAGTCACCTCTTTACAAAGTTTCTTTTCATTGGAAAAATTAGAGCATGCACTGTGTGGCACATTTCTGGACTTTATTAAAGTATGTAGTTGTTCTTATTTCATTTAAATTGCTTTAATGCACATTACTAGATATTATAATATTTGAGGCTTATGTTTTTCTAAAACAAGTTTTTATCTGGAAATAAACACTATCTCTTTATAATATTTTGTATATAGAAAATTTCAATGTTCAATTCCACAGAATATATTATTCAGAATTTTAAGCCCCAAAGTCGGATTTTGTATATTGTATAACCTTCTATTTCTAGTTTTAAAACATGTAAGTTTTAACTATTTATTCATCAAATATACCCCCTATGTAATATTAATCCACATTCACTAGTTCTTCAGTCCTTGATTAAAAAATACCTTGATTAAAAAATTAAAAAAATAAAAAATTTTGCTTATTTTCCTAAATGAAATTATTTTTAATATTATAAATAATATAAAAGATGATGACTTCTCTATTTTCATAATTTGAGTTTATAACCAGCATTTGTACTTTTATCTTATTAAAAAGTGAATAGATATAACTCTATAGTTTTGTTTTTTGGCATTCCTAGGACTCAAACCTAGAGTCTTGTGCAATTATAATACCATTAAACTACATTTGTAGCCCTGTTATAGATTCATTTTGTTGGTTTTAATTTTCCAAGGAAAAAAACCAGAAGCTTGGGAAGCCTGTTGATCTCGCTTTATAGATAAACAAGTGTAGACCAAGTTACATAATTGAATTGGGATTTGAATAATAGATGCTCTCTCAGTAAAAAAATTAACTTTCAAAGTAGCTTTTAAAATCTTTGCAAAACTATTTGTGGCAGGTGTTGATAACATACTAATTTTTAAGTGACTGAATCTAAGGCCTCTTCAAATCTCATCAAAGACTCAAAAATGAGTCCATAGTACTAGGACTTCTGAAGGACATTTTTCTATGGGCAAATTTGACTATTAATTACTCTCTCTGTCTCTAAATGATAGAAGATTCCCACAGCTGGATTTTGCTAAGATAATACTTGAAAATCTGCATTTGGCATTTGTGTGTATTTAGCATTAAAAAGAACACAATTAAGGCAGAGTTCATTTGGAATGCCTTTGGCATTGTGATATCATGACAAGACACTGTGATATGACAGTTGAAATCTGAGCTGAGTTACCATGTACCTTTCTCACACCATTTGTCCATTACCTAATTACACTCTTCAAGGGGACACTGGACTCAGTGCAATGCTTCAATTTTCAATCTCGCCCATTTCACATGTGTGCATGTATAGTAAGTCTCTCCATTGCTTCATCATAATGCAAAAAATATAGTTTGTAAAACAAAATCTTAACTCAACTGATTTCCTAAATTAATTCACATAATTTTAAAATCATCAACCATTCTTTAGCTTCTCTATAATAAATGCAAACTATTCTAGAGAAGTGGATATTTATCCACACATCTGTTACCGCTATGCCTGACCCATTAGACCATAGAGGTATCAAAAATGAGTTTCATTTTCCATGTCTCCCAGAGGTACTCAATTTTTTCTTTGATTACTAGCCTCTCTTCCTTTTCTTTTGCCTTTCCCTCCTTAAGATTTGATTATCTACGCATACCTTCCTTTTTTCTCTCTTTGTGCTATTTGGAATACCATCTAGACCCAGACTATCTAGATATTACATAATCTTAGGATAGGTTGAGGATTTTAATGCACTGTTGATTATGATTAATGCTGTTCTTTTTCTTTTAGCCATTTTAGGTTTTGAAACTGCTAACAAATACAATATCACGAGCAAACTTGGACAGAAAATTTACCATGCAGTAGAAGAGTCTAATTTCTGCATGCGCCTTTGCTGTGGGGATTATAGGCCTTTCACCATGAGAATTCTTGATAACTTGGGTCATGAAGTTATAATTTTGAAGCGACCTCTAAGATGTAGCTCTTGTTTCTGTCCCTGCTGCCTCCAGAAGGTCTGTGAATACTTACCAACACAGTTTTCAAGATAGTTTAGCAGAAACTTTTGCTATCTTACTAATATTTTAAAAAGTGGTCCATGAGCAATATTTTCATCTTCTTCCAACTGTAGGAAGGAAGATAAATGACTAAGCCTATGCCCCTAAATAATCTCCCCTGAGTGGCTGAGTAACAGCTCAAACAGTTTCTGATGTTCAAGGGAAGACATTTGGCCAAATCTCTTGTCAGAAATGATCATGACTGGCATGGACAAAACTAATGGAGCTGCATGTCTGAGGATGCCCTAGGATATTTTTCTAGAAATAGAGTGCATTAACAAAAGAGTTGGAAGAAGGATAGATGTATCCAACTTGTGATTTATCTGATGACTTGGACACTCCACTGGAAGACAAATAGAAAAAAAAATTTGTCTCCTGTATTTTTCATTTCTTTTCTTTTAATAAATACAGTAAGTTGTGTCTTCTGTAATAAAAATTCCCCAAACAGAGATGTCCTCAGCTAAAGTCCAGCTATCTGTTTCATCTCTCTTGATGGTCTGCTCATTGCAAATGTGCCTTTCAAAGCAGATACCAATGCATAGGGACTTATAGGGGTGGTAGATAACCTTTGCCTGGATTTCACTAGCCCAGGACCAACCATGTCTGCCCACATACCCCAATGATTCTATAAATAATATCCTTAAAGTATGTGCAAACAGGGATAACAGGAAAAGGATTTTAAGGTTTAATACTATATTTACTGTACTTTGAGAGAATGAGTTTATTTATAAATAATTACTTTTTTCCATGCTATTTGGACGAGGTATAATCTGCCATGCATAGCAGTATCTGAGGAGAATGTGTTTAAGGAAAGTGCTACATTTGAAAAGCAGCATAACACCGTCATGAAGTCTGATCATCAGAAATGATCATTTACAGATAAGCACAGTAACACATTGAGATGACCTAGCAAATAAATAGCAGGGCCACGGAGTCTAGTGTTCAGTTTTCTTTCCTTACACAATATTAGGACTCAGAGTTGAAAGTTCACCAATGGTCAGAATTCTGTCCATATAGATAAGCCACTGTTAATAAACAAGTTTTTGACAGTTTTACTTTATAAATGGAGATATTAGTGAATCATGAAAGCTTTTAAGTGTTCAAAACTCATCCCTTCTGTGTATTAACTGAGGAATCTGATGCAAGTTAATTCACCTTACTTTGGTGTGTTATCTCCTCCATGAATTAGTAAAAGAGATAGCATTGATCTAATTAAGGGATATTGTAGATTGACTCACTGTGTGTCATTCTTAGTAAATGAAGCCACAAATAGAAAATATGATGTTTAACATATTTATCAATGTTCTTTTTCATTTGTAGATAGAAGTCCAAATTCCTCCTGGTGTGCCAATAGGTTACATTTCCCAGACCTGGCACCCATGTGTTCCAAAGTTTACAGTTCAAAATGAGAGGAAGCAGGATGTTCTAAAAATTATTGGTCCATGTATCACATGCAGCTGTGTGGGAAATGTTGATTTTCAGGTAACAGATGTGAGATCGTGTTTATTGGTTTTCTTTTTCTTATAAATAGAACGTATTTTGCAATGACCTACAATTGTATTAAATCGAAATTTTTTTCACAAATATTTCAGAAGACAAATAACATGGTCATATAAATATTTTCTGGTCCAATAAAATGTCAGTGTTGATGCTGTTAAATCAGAAAAAGGTGCAGTCACCTAAAAATAGCCACAATTTCTGTATTGGCTGCTTTTCTTATTGCTATGACTAGTACCCTACAAGAAGCAGTTTCAAGAAAAAAAAAAGTTTTGTTTTGTCCTATAGTTTAAAGGTGCCATTATTCTCAGTCACTGCATGCACATGCTACATAGACCTACATGCAAGCAAAACACCCACATTAAATAAAAATAAGTGAATCATTTTTAGAAGAGAAAAGCTAGAGCTGGTATAGTGCCTACTGTCCAAGTGTGCTTCTCTGTGATCTCCGTGTTCAATAAAACCCACTGGAAAACATGCTTGAACATTCACTTCCTCGAAGAATTTTTAAACCTGGGGAAATTTTTGTCATTTTGACTCTGATTCTTTTCAAAATTCAAAAAACCTGAAAAAATATCAGGCCTATATTTCCACAGAGGGGCAAAAATAGTCTAAGGCTGAAGAGGGCTTAGCCTTTCCTGATGAGCCTTTAGAACTCTTTCTTCATGCCCACGAAGGCATGTCTGCAGGGTCACTCTGCCACATTGCCTGCTGTACCTGGTAGCCATGAAGTTTTTCATTGCTCTCTTAGAATCCAGTTACATATACATAAAGCCTTGCCTTCAAGGACCTAAAAATCTAATCACAGACACAGGCAGTTCTAAGACAATACAGATAATACAGAAACACTGCGAGAGATCTTACAGATCATTGTGTAGAAGGTTCTTGGCATGTGTGAGGTATACAATGCATCCTATAAAGACTTTATATAATGTATGTGGAAAAATAGATCTACATGAGAAAGCATCTAGATATGTGCAAAATTATTTCTATTTTCAGAAGCATTAACAGAATGTAAGCTGGCATACAATTTACTTTTAAGAAACAAGTCAAAACAATGGAGAAATGTTGTCAATTTTTCATATATAATGCCCCAAATCCCTATTTTATGTAGCAAGCCTTCAAATGTTTAGCTACATGATACCATGATTTGAATGGAGTATTTGTTCCCTCTTATTCAAACCCTGAAAGCAGGTTTTTTTTCCTAGAACTTTGTAAGCCTCTCCTTTTGTTCATTGATTTTTGTTTTCCAATTCAGATCAAATCTCTGGATGAAAAAATTGTGATTGGCAGGATTTCCAAGCATTGGTCTGGTTTTCTGAAGGAGGTCCTTACAGATGTGGACAGTTTTGGGATCTATTTCCCCATGGACCTTGATGTAAAGATGAAGGCCGTGATGCTTGGAGCATGCTTCCTCATAGTAAGTCTGTTCCTTGTGATTATTATTTCAGGTGGAGCCGCCAGAACCATTTGGAGATAACATGAAAACTGCACACTTAAAGATCACCTTCTTGACACCCAGAGACTTCTATGTCCATGTCCCTGGTAACAGTTCTGCCTCCATCCACAGGACCAGGTAGGTTAGGGGCTGTTAACGGTCCGGCTTCCCCTACCCTGCTCCGTGACACCTGAGGCCGGGGGACTGCTCACAGGATTCGAATTCGGCAGGATCCAACACTACCCAGAGACTGCCAAAGCCCCAGTAACAGCCTTGCCTCCATCCACAAAAGTAGGACAGACATCAGAGTATTGGATCTGTTTGCATCTACCAAGAAGGGAAACTTGGTCCCATATCCAACAGGAGAGGAAGAGACTCCTGCTACACCCTGTGGAAGAAAGGATGGGAAAGACACAATAAAAGCACATTCAACAACAGAAAAACCAATATGACACCATCGGAGCTAGGGACCCTACACCAGCAAGACCTGAACATCACAATGCAGATGAAGCAGAAGAGAATGACCTTAAAAACATCTTCATGAAAACGATAGAGGGCCTCAAAGAGGATATGAGAAAATCCCTTAAAGAAATGGAAGAAAAAAAACAACAAAAATACAAGATATCAACAAATCTTTCAAGTAAACAGTTCAAGACCTAAAAACTGAAATAGAGGCAATAAAATAATCGCAATCTGAGGGAATGATGGAAATAGAAAAGCTGGGTAAAAGATCAGGAACTACAGATGCAAGCATAACCAACAGAATACAAGAGATGGAAGAGAGAATCTCAGGAGTTGAAGATGCACTAGGAGAAATAGACTCATGAACCAAAGAACATCTTAAGTCCAACAAATCCCTAACACAAAATCTCTAGGAAATATGGGATACCATGAAAAGACCAAACCTAAGAATACTAGGTATAGAAGAAGGTGAAGAAATCTAACTCAAAGGTGCAGAAAACATATTCAACACAACCATAGAAGAAAACTTTCCCAGCCTAAAGAAAGACATGCCAATGAAAGTACAAGAAGCCTACAGAACACCAAATAGAGTGGACCACAGAAAACGGTCTCTTCACCACATAATAATCAAAACCCCAAACACACAGAATAAAGAGAAAACAGTAAGAGCAGCAAAGGAAAAAGGTCAAGTAACATATAAAGGCAAACCTATCAGAATTACACCTGACTTTTCTATGGAAACTCTGAAAGCCAGAAGGTCCTGCATAGATATCATACCTACACTAAGAGACCATGGACGTCAGCTCAGACTACTGTATTCAACAAGCTTTCAATCAATAAAGATGGAGAAAACAAGATATTACATGACAAAACCAGATTCCAATAATACATATCCACCAATCCAACCCTACAGAAATTTCTGGAAGGAAAACTGCAACCCAAGGAAGTTAACTACAACCAGAAAAATATAGGCAATAGATAATTCCACTTTTTCAACAGCCAAAAGAAAAAAGGAGTGGAAACAAACACACAATTTCACCACCACCACCAAATCCAAAACAAACAAGAATGAACACTCAATGGTCATTAATATCCGTCCATATTAATGGTCGTAACTCGCCTATAAAAAGACACAGGTTAGCAGAATTGATAAGAAGACAGAACCCATCCTTCTGCTGCATATAAGAAACACCCCTCAACTTCAAAGACAGACAGTACCTAAGAATTAAGGGTTGGGAAAAGAGTTTCCAATCAAATGGACCCAAGAAACCAGTGGGGATAGCAATCCTAATATCCAACAAATTAAACTTTAAAATCAATCAAAAGAGATGAAGGAGGTCACTTCCTACTCATCACAGGAGAAATCCATCAGGATGAAGTCCCTCAATTCTGAACATTTATGCCCCAAATACAAAGGCATCCACTTTCGTAAAAGAAACACTACTAAAACGCAAATCACACATAAAACCTCACACACTTATAGTGGGAGACTTCAACACCCCACTCTCATCACTAGACAGGAACACCAGACCAAAACTTAACAAAGAAACAAAGGAACTAATAGAAGTTATGGCCCAATTGAGCTTAGCAGACATCTATAGAACATTCCATCCAAATACAAAAGAATATACCTTCTCAGCGCCACATGGAACCTTCTCTAAAATCGACCACATATTTGGCAATATAGCAAACCTCAACAGGTACAAAAAAGTTAAAATAACCCCCTGTATCTTATCAGACCACCATGCTTTAAAGTTAGAACTCAACAACAACACAAATTTCAGAAAACCTACAAACTCATGGAAATTAAATAACACCCAATTGCACGATTCCTGGGGTGAGGAAATAATAAAAAAAGAAAAAAAAGATTTCCTAGAATTCAATGAGAATGTAGACATAACATACCCAAACTTATGAGACACTTTGAAAGCAGTACTAAGAGGAAAGTTCATAGCGTTAAATGCCCACATGAAGAAACAGGAGAATAGTCACACTAGAGAATTAATGGCACAACTGAAAGTTCTAGAACATAAAGAAGCCAATACACCCTGGAGGAGCAGATGCCAGGAAATAATCAAATTGAGGGCTGAAATCAATAAAGTGGAAATTAGGAGAACAATAAAAAGAATCAGTATAACTAAGAGTTAGTTCTTTGAGAAAATCAACAAGATAGACAAACCTTTATCCAAACTTACAAAAAGGCAGAGAGTGAACATGCAAATAAAAAAAATCAGGAAGGAAGAGGGGGACATAACAACAGACACAGAGGAAATCCAGAGAATCATCAGCTCATACTTCAAAAACCTGTATTCCTCAAAATTCGAAAATCTAAAGAAAATGGACAATTTTCTTGATAGATTTCATTTACCAAAGTTAAATCAAGAACAGGTAAGCAACTTAAATAGACCTATAAACCCTAATGAAATAGAAGCACTCATCAAAAGTCTGCCAATCAAAAAAAGCTCAGGGCCAGATGGCTTCAGTGCAGAATTCTACCAGAAATTCAAGGAACAGCTAATACCAATTCTCCCCAAAGTATTCCGCACAATAGAAGCAGAAGGGTTATTGCCAAATGCCTTTACGAGGCTTCAATAACCTTGATACCCAAGCCACACAAAGACACAACTAAGAAAGAGAACTACAGACCAATATCCCTCATGAACATTGATGCAAAAATACTCAATAAAATACTGGCAAATCCAATCTAAGAACACATCAGAGAAATCATCCACCATGATCAAGTAGGCTTCATCCCAGGGATGCAAGGATGGTTCAACATACGAAAATCCATCAATGTAATCCACCATATAAGCAGACTGAGGAAAAAAAAAAACATGATCATCTTACTAGATTCGGAAAAAGCCTTTGATAAAATCCAACACCACTTCATGATAAAGAAATTGGAGAGATCAGGGATAACAGGAACATATCTAATAATGATAAAAGCAATATACAGTAAGCTGGCAGCCAACATCAAATTAAATGGAGAGAAACTCAACACAATTCCTCTAAAATTGGGGACAAGACAAGGCTGCCCACTGTCTCCATACCTCTTCAATATTGTGCTTGAAGTTCTAGCTAGAGCAATAAGACAACAAAAGCTGGGAAGTGGATATGATCATATTTAATTGTATATATGCATAAGATTCTAAAAAATTAGGAAAAAGAAACCTAACTAAAGGAGGAATACATTCTTACTTCCCAGCTTTTATAGAAGAAGTGACTTATAGCTCTAACTCTGAGATGATTTCAGGCATTTCTTACAATTTGGAATCACAGGGGACATACTTTCTATCCAAAGAAACCACACAGTTTCAAACCAAAGATACAAAGCTCATCTGTTGAGAGATTTTGACTTTACAAAACAAAATGTTAAATTGAGACTTCAAGGAATTAATACATGTGGAATAAATGTTGTTGAAACAAAGATTTTTGTCTTGACATATTATTTGATTAAAATAAAATGAAGTGGAATCATCAATAAGAATATACATTCAATCAAATCTCTATATCTAACTAGCATGTTACAGGAAGTATTTTGTATAAAGCAGTGGCCCTGAGACTTTTTTCAATGCCCATACTAAGTTCCAAGCTCAGAACCAGAAGTTGGTTGAGTATCCAGGGAATTCTCCCATATCATCAACATTGAAGGTTACAGGGACAGATCATTTTACCAAATTAGTCAAACTTCCTTATGTCATTCAGGAAGATGTGAACATTTTCCATATGATGCAAAAGATAAACTATTTTTATGCAATAATGGTATTGTGGCTATGACGAAGCTCAATGAAGTTCATATATCTATCTCCGAAGGAACATATCATGGGATGTTGGCTAATTTCATGTTAGCCTGACACAGGCTAGAGTCATTTTGGAAGAGGGAACCTCAATTGAGAAAATGTCCCAACCAGATTTGCCTCCGGTCAGGACTGTAGTCCATTTTTTTGATTGATGATTGATGTGGGAGGGACCAGATCACTGGGGACAGTGCAATCCCTGGGATAGTGGTTCTAGGATCTCTAAGAGGGCAGACTCAGCCCTGACAAGTAAGCCAGTAAGCAGCATTCTTTCATGGCCACTGCATCAGCTCCTGCCCACAGGGCTCTGGTGTGTTTGAGTTCTTGTCCTGACTTTCCTCAGTGATAGACTATGATATGAAAATCTAAGCTGAAATAAACACTTTCCTTCCCAAGTTGTTTTAGATTGTGATGTCTTATCACAACAATAGAAACCCTAACTAAGACATTAGGCACTTCATGAGCTTCCACACCTAGGTGAGATTTTGTTTTTTAACATTTGCTCTTCAATAATGAAAGCAAAGTCATAAAGATCTAGGAAATGAAATGATAGTTTGTTTAGCCAAACATTGTCATGTTAGTAATTATAATCCAGGTTAGGAATCACTAGAATTTAGCATGATAGTCTGCAAATTTGTGATATGAGTGATAGCTAATTCCTTAACTAAAGCTTCAATATTGCAACAATTCTATTTACCTTGAAAGATAAATATTATATGTATGAGTTTATGGGTTTTCACATGGTATCTTGATAGAAGTATTGGTTGTGAGATGGTCAAATCAAACTAACCAACATATCCATTACCTCAAGGATTGTCTTTATTTTGCATTGTGATCATTTAAAATCTGCTATTTAGCAGTTTTGGAATATACAGTGCAGAGATATACCTCCAGTCACAGCGCCCTGTGTGAATCACTAGCATTTATTCTTCATTAATGAACATTTAGAGCCATTGATACAACTCTTATTCCCCCAACCCAACTTCCATCCTCAGGCTCCAATTATACTCTCTTTGTTTACAATGATGAATTTAACGTCTGTACACTCAACATGAGTGAGAGAGTGCTCTATTTTTTTCTCTGGCTTATTTCGTGTAACTACTATCTTCCAGGTTAATCAATTTTGATGTTTATAATAAGGTTTCATTTTTATGAACGTATAGCATTTCATTTGTAGTACACATACTTCATTTTCCTTTGTTATTCTTCTTTGCCTCCTTGGCTTGCTTACGCTTTGGTTATTCTTTGGTGTCTTCTTTGTCTTTACTTTGAGAAAAGGTCTCAGCATGTAGACTAGTGTGACTTCACACTCAAAACTCTACTGCCTCTCACAGCTGAGTTCCCTCACTTTTCTTAATTTGAAAAGTAGCCTCAATTTTATTGCTGAAAATTGACTTCATTATTTTTCTCCTTATCTAGGACTTCATGTTTTTTGAAACGGGTAGAGGCCAGAGACCAAAACTGAGATTATGTTAATGAATCAATGAATGTGTCCTCAGAAAATGTGAAACTGGAACACTGATTGAGATGAAAAGAAAACACCGTGGTTTCTTTCATTGAAATCACTCATCTATCTTTGAATTAAACTAGATTGTGCATAACTCCACTGACATGTGATTGGCTATTCAAGTTATTACAGTTTATTTCCTAGCTCACTAGCTTAGATTCTTTTATATATTATAGCGGATATTCACTTTTTCTTTGGGAAAAATCAACATAATATTTAGAAACCTTATTGTTCCTGTCCTTGTCCTTCCATAAAAAGATACTAGACAGGAGTATTCCTGTGTCTGACCCTGTATCTTCCAAGCTCTGTGGTGATCCTTGAACCTCAATTTACTTAATTGCTGGTAGGAAATTTTTCTATTAGTAATGGTATTAAACTTTTAAAGTCTGTATAAGGACTGTGAAATTCTAATGCATGCCCCTCCTCCCGGAACATGAGCAATTTCCCAAACTAAAATGAGAAAAAGGCTTCATTGTGGAAACTAGTGATTTCAAAATACAGGAAAATGGCTCAGACCAATGCAGAAAACTTTGGATATGGGATTTCTGTTCCATGGCTTTGAATTTGCATCAAATTCATTCTGAATACTGGGCAGACACTAATTGTCCTTTTGTGGGAGAGATTCCTATGCGGCTACGCTGACTTTCCTCCCTTACCCTCAGCACGTAAAAATATGAAGGCCTTGAAGTCAGAGGCAGGGATAAATCTGAAACAGGATGAAAGTTGGTAGACAACACTGGGCTTGAACATGAAAAGATGGCTTGATCCTTAGGCAACCAGCCACAAAGCTCTGACTGGCCACCCTCTGCCACCTACTGCAGCCAACTGTCCATGTTTGTATAGTAAAACATACTCTAGTAACATCTCAATAAACTTGCCTACTTTGGAGATCTACTGCTTGCCTGCTAGTGGCATTGTGTCCTGCTTGTAACATGGTGAAGTTATTCTGCCTCAATAATCAACAAAATCATTGAATTCAAGATGTGGGCAGGCATCCATGCAGAAAATCTTAGGGCAGTGTTCAAGATCTATCTTGTTTACTGCTCTATTGCCGAGAAGAAACACCATGGCCAAAGCAGCTTACAAAAGAAAGCATTTGATTGGGGGGCTTGTTTACAGTTTCAGAGGGTGAGCCCATGACCATCTTGGCTGGGAGCATGGTGACAGGCAGGCATGGTGTTGGAGCAGTACCTAAGAGCTTGCATCTGATCCACAAGCGGGAGGCAGAGAGTGTGAGGCTGAGGCTGGCTTGGGCTTTTAAAACCTCCAAGCCCACTCCTGGTGACGCATCTCCTCAAACAAGGTCATACTCCTCATCTGACCTAAACAGAGCACCAACTGGGAAATGAACATTCAAATATAGGAGCCTGTGTAGGTCTTCCCCATTCAAACCACCACAAGGTCCTATTGATAAATACACATACTAATTAGTGGAGAATAGTCAGGATCTACACTGCACAAACTGAGATAGTTGCTATGAAAAGAGAAGGCAGAATTTCTATCAGGGGTTGGACTGCAGGTTAGTTTGAAAGCTAACCTGCCATCACAGACAAGGATCGAGAGGGTTAAAAAGGATGCCTCACCTCACTGGCCTTATTATCAAGGTCAGCCTGCATACAGAGAGCAATCCAGGATTTTGTGGAGAATGTAGGGGGACATGATGGCCATGTGTCTTCTACTTCAAAAATAGAAATTAAGACATTTACAGCAGCCGGGTGTTGGTGGCACACGCCTTTAATCCCAGCAGTCGGGAGGCAGAGACAGTCAGATCTCTGTGAGTTCCAGGCCAGCCCGGTCTAAAGAGCAAGTGCCCAAATAGGCTGAAAGTTACACAGAGAAACCCTGTCTCAAACAGCAACAACAACAAAAAGACATTTACAACAAAGCCTCATGTCCTGAGGGAAACTGGGTTGACCCTATGGATCTTACTTTGACTGACTTTGAACTCAATATGTAGTCAAAGATTATCTTAAACTTCTGTCCTGTCCACATCTTCCACCTAACTAACTTCCAGGATACAAGTTATGTGCTACCATGCCCAACTTTATCCAGTGTCCCAACTTTATTCAGTGTTGGAAATTGCTTCGAGGGCTTTCTGCCTGTGGGCAAACACTGAACCAATTGATCTATGTCTCCAGCCCTCCCACTTGTTAAGACTATAGGAGCTCCTTCTGAAGAATTGGGTAGTCCCTCATAACAATTTCATAGCATTTTTATCTATTCTGCTATACAATATGCATCCATTTCACTCCCCCCCCCCCACTTCTCAGTAAAGTAAGTACTTGAATGAAGCCTTCTTATGTATTGTGCCCATCCAAGCCTAAGCATTTATCTTGATCTTGTCTCATCCATGGACTAGACTCCCTTTCTGGGAGTTGCTGTATCCTTAAAGCCTCTCCTTAACACTCAGCACGATAGTTAGTTTGGTAGGAACCACTGTGTCCATCTTAGTTGAGAATGTCTGTGACATGGTCAATACCTACCTGATTTGCAGTTTCCTTACTACTTAAAGTTGGGTTGATGGCCCATGCACTAAAATCACCTATCTTTCAAATGTGCAAGGTGAAGTGATGCATTCTGCAAATATTATAACTTCTCAAAATATCCAGGCCTACCTAGACAGGATATAAAATTAGTAGTCACTTAAGTTAAATGCCAATAAAAACAAGAGAATAGTTTTTAAAAGCATGCTACATTATTGAAATAAACTATATTATCGTGTCAATATTTTGATGTAGGATCAAAGGCCAAATATGGACCTATTATAGGAAATTACCAATACGGAGTCAGGTAGAAATATAAGGGTATTTAATAGGGAAAAACCTTATTTACAGAGCGACCTAGCCAGCCGGTGTGGCAGCAGTCTGTACGCAAGCCCAAAAGAGAAATCAAAAGTGAAAAACGCAGTCACCCTATGTCCCCTGACCACGCCCTTGCAAGCTTGTGAGGGCGTGGTCAGGCACACCTGTAGCCAGCCCCTAAGTAGGCGTGGCTACAGCTTCCCCTACGTGGACCAGCTCTTCTATCTTTTCCATTTTACATAAAGGCACATTTTCTCTTTTCCGATGTGTGTATATGTGTGTGTGCTTCAGGGCAGGGAGGGGTAAATACACACATGCTGTGATATATATGTGGTGGGCAATTCTCTGCTTCCCTGGGGAACTGGAGGGATAAAATTTAAGGTGTGAGGATTACAGAACAAAATCACTTTTACCTAATGAACTATGACATGTACCCAAGGCACACATTTTAGGAATTCATTCTAGAATCTTGATTGGGACTATCTGTAGCTCTTTGGTTCTGTGGTCTCCATTGAATGACTTCAAATGAGACACACAAATTGTACTATAAGGGCCAGGTGGAATTTATTACAGAGTGATACAAGGTACTTTCAAGGATGAGGGGTACAGTGGACAAAGGGACCTTTATAAATTACGTGAGAGTGAAAATGGCCAGAGAGAGCATGGGGCCAACCTATATTTTAGGCCAGCCTTACGCTATTTCTAAAGTCTCTAAAATGCATACTTTTTCTGGGGAGTGGCCTTTTCTCTAGGTAGTTTAAAGGTATATTTCAATTTAAAAAAATTTTTGAGACATGGTCTTAAGTGGTGCTGACAGGCCTAAAACTATGCAGTCAGAGATGACCTTCAACTCCTAATACATTCTTCTCCATCTCCTGAGTGTTTGCTCCATGGAATAAGAAAATGCTACCTGGCATGAGAAACCAAAGGCTGCTATAATAGAAGTGCATTTGCTGGTGACTATGAGCAGTTGTAATTTCCTTCAATTAGGAAACTATATTTTCTATTTGCCAGGAGTTTGAGCCATATGTGAATTTCATAAATAGAGAAAAAGGAGTCCCAGTTGAGCTATAGATTACTAGCTCAACAACAGAAAAATTATTCTTCCAAAAGAATTTGCATGAGCTGAGCTCTCGGCTTATGCTCCATCCATGATGCCAGATCTGAATTCTCAAGCAACTCCTGCCAATTCCTGTTTGCTTCATCTATGGGTATGTGGTGTGTGTGTGTGTGTGTGTGTGTGTGTGTGTGTGTGTGTGTGTGTGTGTGTGCATCCATATCCACATATACAATCTGACACATGTGCAAAATTATTAATATTCATTGCATAGTTTAAACATAAGACATTCAAGTATTGTGTAACATACATCCATGTAACGTCTTACAAGTGACATCTAAAATGCTTTTAAAAATAATTTACTTACTAAATATTGGATTTCTTAGTTTCTCAAAGCTTTAAATTAACCCATATGGGATCCATGCATGACAAATGATCATTCTGGACAGAAAACCATCTTTTTTATTTGCCTTAACTCCTTGATCTATATCCTCTCCCACCTGGGAAAGATTTGGGTTTTTTGGGGGGCGGATCCAGTGAGATGACACCACAAATAGTTATCTGGTGCCAAAGATAATTATCTGAGTCCAATCCTAAGGACATACATGGTGGAGGAAAAGAACTTTGAACATTATCTGAGTTTTACATGTGCACTGTGACACAAGAATGCACATACATAATTAAATATATAATGCATTTTTTAGAGATTTTTAATTAGCACTGGGGATATTACTTAGTAGATAAAGTGAGTGTTTTGCAAGGGTGAGGGCCTAAGTTCAGATCCCAAGAACAACATAAATAGCCACATATCTTTGTTCTTCCTGTAACTCTGGGGGAGTAGAAATAGGCAGGGCATCTGAAGACAGCCCAGTTCCTGGAGTTCATTAGCCAGCTAACCTAGATGAATTGACGAGCTTCAACTTCAAGTAGAGACTGTGTTTCAAAAAATTAATGATTGAGGATAGACTCTTACGTTGACTGCTGGTCTCCACATGCATGCTCACATATGTGTGCCCTCACACCCACATGTATATACACCCACACATACCACAATGGCAAGTACATATATTACACACAATAGCACACGTGCACACACACACACACACACACA